GAGAGGAGAAGCCTGATCGGGGAGGAAAGATTTTCAGCCAAGTCCATGGACCGGATCCTTGGTGTCTTCCCCGGCTGGTGGAGGCAGCAGCTGCTCCTTCCTGTCACTTGCAATAACAATGATGGCATGGATCTAAAATGAGGTTCCTGCTAACCAGAACTTGCTATATTTCAGCTAGGTGTCCCAGTTAAGATTTTAGAGCCGTTGAGATTCTAAGCAGCAGAGCCTTGGCTGCAGAAACTCACAGCTTATTGCTCTCATTATGGTGGCTCTTATTTGCCACCAAGAGTAGGCATTTCAAATGTGACATTTGTGTTGATTACAAAATGAAATCACTGGTCCATTTAATTAACACTTGCTGTAAATATTCAGTGATTCCCAAGTGCCCAGGTTTGGATGGGAAAGGGAAAGGGAGAGCAGGAGGGGTTGGAGGAGGAGACCTGGCTGATGTCATCTGGCTGGGCCCTTGTCATCCGACCAGGCAGCGTTCCGTCTGTTGCAATCAGAGGCTTTCACGTGTCAAAGAAGGGGACAGGACCCCCCGAGGCTTCAGAGGCTGTTTCATATTTAATAAGCTCAAACACAAGCACAGAGCACCTACTTATTTCTCCTTCAGGCTCTGTGATAAAATATTCTCGGGTCCGGGTCATCTGAGCTCGCTTGGGTGGAAGGTTGCTTGTGGAGTTCAGGAGCGCTGCGCGAAGTCTGCGGTCTGTCCAGTGTTGCTTTCAACTCAGATGGATGCCCTAAGATACAATCCTGCTAAATGTGCCCCCAAAAACAGTTTAAAGTATGGTTCTGATTATGATTCAGCTGTGGTGAGGCAAGCCGATGAGGAGAGGACGGACATTGAAAAGATTGTCACTCATTCCCAGGAGGAGGGGTCAGCAGTGCGCCACGCGGGGCCGCGTGGGAGGCGCCAGGGTCGGTCAGGAGGCAGGGGAGCCACGGAACAATTGGGCAAGGGCCTTTTTTGTGGTTTCTGTGGGGAGGAATGGGCGAGGCAGGGAGAACAGGCTTGGGATTGGCTAGTTTAAATAATTTCAGCCGGCTCTGCAGCATGGGGGCCGCCCCTGGTTGTCTGGTACGTGTCTCCGGGGTGGTGAGGGTGGGGAAATAGTGGCCCTGGATGTGAGAGATGAGAGGTGGAGGAAGGGGGGACCCTGGGTCCATGGTGACATGTGGAAGTCTTGCTTTCTGGAAATTGGCTAACCCCAGCCCCAGCAGTCCCTCCAGGCCCAGCAAGGCCACAGATGTCCAAGCATCATAAAGACATGGCCAATACATAGCCAGACTCAGAACTGTCTGTGCAGACCCTCTGAATCTGAGACACAGCCTTCATTTCCCTGGTTACCCAGAGACCTGGAATGTTCTTTGTGAACCCTGGAAGCACTCCCTGCCCTACGCTGGTAATTAAGGAAATGCAACATCGCCACCTACTGCTGAGGCTCTCCTGAAAATCAGAAAAAGAACCCACCTTTTTTTTTTTTTTTTTTTTTTGAGACAGAGTCTTGCTCTGTCACCCGGGCTAGAGTGCAGTGGTGCAATCTCAGCTGACTACAGCCTCCACCTCCTGAGTTCAAGTGATTCTCCTGCCTTAGCCTCCCAAGTAGCTGGGATTACAGACAGCCACCACCACGCCCCCCGCCCCCTAATTTGTGTATTTTTAGTAGAGAAAAGGTTTTGCCATGTTGACCAGGCTGGTCTCGAACTCCTGACCTCAAGTGATCTGCCTGCCTCAGCCTTCCAAAATGCTGGAATTACAGGCATGAACCACTATGCCCAGCCAAAAACAGGATTTTAAGAAAAGAAGAAAAGAAGAAGAGGCTGGCCTGTAATCCCAGTACTTTAGGAGGTCAACGTGGGAGGATTACCTGAGCTCAGGAGTTCAAGACGAGCCTAGGCAACATAGCAAGACCCCATCTCGACAGAAAATAAAAAAATTAGTCAGCAAGGTGGCTTATACCTGTAGTCCCAGCTATTTGGGAGGCTGAGGCAGAAGGATCACTTGAGCCGAGGAGGTCTAGGCTGCAGTGAGGTGTGATTGCACATTGCCCTCCAGCCTGAGTGACAGAGCAAGACCCCATCTCAAAAAAAAAAAAAAAGAAAGAAAAGAAAAGAAAAGAAAAGTTTGACTGTGAATCCAAACCATGAGCCCTCCCTGTCTCCCCAGAAGGCTCTTGTCCTGGTGCCCCAGTGTGCACCGTGCCTCTCTGGGCGTGCGGGTGCAGATGTCTGAGCTCTTGCTCTGCAGGCATTTTTGACTCAGCAGTTCCCTGGCGTGGAGGGAAAGTTCAGACGAGCTCAATACCCTCCCCTAACAGAACAATGATATGACAGGCCTGGGACTCACAGGGTTTTCCAGCCTGTCATCTTGGTGATCAAAGTTAACTGGAAACTGCTTTCTGCTTCCGTCGAGAAGAGGCGGGTTTTTTTCTTCATCTCAGAACACTCGTGTTATTTCCTATACCTTCTCTGCCCCTCTTATAGCCAGACAACAGAGAGCTTGGTGGAAATGAACGTGGTCACAGAGATGTAGGATTAGCCACCTTGTTTGAGTTTTATATCATTTTAGAGTGGGAAGTGTTATATTTTGTTAATAGTCTATTCAGGTGGAAATTAGGGTGGAGGAGACAGGATGTCTTTACTCTTTGATTCTCTAGAACTAAAGCAAATGAGATTTTTTTAAAAGAAACATATGGCATTACTTTGAAAATTAAGTTATTTCAGACCCTATGTGAATTGAGACTCAAAACCATTGTTAGAGTATGAAGGCAGCTGTCAACTTCAGGAGGCCTCTGTTAATCCTCTGGTGTTAGGATTGCTTTTGCTCTTCCTTCCCTCTCGTTTCTCTCTTCTTTCCCTTCCCTTTCTCTCCCGTTTCCTTATTTTTCTTCCTTTAGTTTCTTTTGTTATTCTGATGACCCTTTGCCAACAGCATTTTGGCAAAGGGATGTAAATTTATTTATTTTTGAGATAGAGTTTTGCTCTTGTTGCCCAGGCTGGAGTGTGCAATGGTGCAATCTCAGCTGTTAGCCAGGCTGGTTTTGAACTCTGGATCTCAGGTGATCCCACCCCCTCAGTCTCACAAAGTGCTGGCATTCCCCACGCCCCGCCAATTATGGATAAATCCTTTTATCTTTGACCGTACCTGATGGGTAACGCTGCCTTTGAGCTTTCCTTTCTGAAAAGACTCACGAAGTCCTTTATCTACAGTGTAGAAACGCTCCTCCTCTTCCATTTCCCACTGGAATCTAAAGGTATCATTTGAACCCGGAAATTCCACGTTGTTGCCCCTTAGGTGATTATAATGATTAGAAGAAGTCATTTTAATGAATTCCTGCAAATAGAACTTAGGAAGCTAAAGGCATCCTTCGTTTGCCTGGTACGACGTTGGCTTCTTGTTTTTGCTTTTGTGGTTTAAATTGGAGTTCGTTTCTAATATTTAAAAATCAGTGGGGTTCTTAGATAGAGAACCACTTTTTTCACAGTCTGAGAAACAGAAGCCCAACAAGGTGATGTGACTTGCCCTAAGTCACACAGAGCTGGGGACTCCACCGCTGCTCTCTGACTCCCTCCAGAGGATTCTGGCCATCCGCTTTTAATGCTGTTCTGGAAAACTGAAGTACTTTTTTCTTCCCATTTCACCTCCCTCACCTTCTGCCTCTTCTTGGTAAACCCAGTTTCCAAGAGCCCCAGGTACTCAGCACCCTCCTAATCCACCCTAAGGATTGCCACACCGGCTCAGAACCTCCTTCCCTCCAAGACGCTGCATTCCAGCCTTTCTCCCATCTTCACCTCAATTCCTCATCCTTCAGCGCAGCTGGTCACTGGGCAGTACAGGTGCATTGTCTCATTAAAGAATTTAATAAACTCCAAAGTCAATATTATAAAGGCACACTTAGTGTGAACTTACATAACGTCAGCATGTTTCATCTTGAAAAAAATATCTATAAGCTCCAGATGAAATCCAGTTCTTATTTGGCTTAATATGCATTCATATCACTTAGCTTGGCACAGCTCTCCAAATGCACAGAAATCAAATCACAATTCACCACCTTTGGGAGTAGTAGTCACCATTTCAAAGAAAGCTGTGATTAAGCAGAAGAAATTATCTCTTTTTTCTTTTTAAATTTATTTTAATTTGTTTAATTTCTTTTTACATTTATACACTTTAAGTTCTGGGGTAGATGTCCAGAACGTGCAGATTCGTTACACAGGGAAACATGTACCATGGCGGTTTGCTGCATCCATCCCCTCTTCATCTACATTAGGTATTTCTCCTAATGCTGTCACTCCCCAGTCCCCCCACCTTCTGCTATCCCTTCCCTAGTCCCCACCAGTGGCTCACATCTATAACGTCAGCATTTCGGGAGGCTGAGGTGGGCAGATGATTTGAGCCTAGCCTGAGCAACAAAGCCAGACTCCATCTCTACAAACAAACAAAAAAGCCGAGTGTGGTGATATGCACCTGTAGTCTCAGCTACTCAGGAAGCTGAGGCAGGAAGATTGCTTGAGCCCAGGAGGTTGAGGCTACAGTGAGGCATGATCACACCACTGCTCTCCAGCCTGGGCAACAGGGCAAGACCCTGTCTCTCTTAAAAGAAGAAGAAAGAAAGAAAGAAAATCCAACTCACTGACAATTTAGAAAAGACAAGAAATGTGATAAAAACAAATAAATTAATTATGTAAAATTAGAAAGCAAATAGGACAAAGAAAGTAGAAGGTCTGTTTTAGCATCTGCTGTTACAGGTTGGTGGCAGGCCTGATTTTTTGGCTATGGTGAGGCTCATCAGGGCATGACAGTCCTAACCCACTATCACAACTCAAAAAACACTGTCTTCCACAGGGGATCACAGAAAAACTACTGATGATGCTTTTTCCTTTGTTTCTTTAGGATGGGGAGTTTCAGCTTTCACTGCAAGTCGTGGAGCTCGAGAAAGCACTGTATTTTCTGCACCTGCTGTGTCTGTGGCTCATGCATTGTTTTTCTCTTTCAGATTCTATATAGAAAGCATTTCGTACCTGAAGGATAATGCTACCATTGAGCTTTTCTTTCTGAATGCAAAGTCCTGCATCTACAAGGTAGGCTCTCCCTCCTCCCTCAGTTTCCCACTGAAATCCAAAATGATCATTCGAAGCTGACAATTCCAAAGTGTTGCCCCTTAGGCCATTTCATTGATTAGGAGAAGTCATTTATAAACCATTTGCTATACATGAATGGAATGTTAGGAAGCTAATGGTGCCATTTAATAATGAGATTCCTTTGATCCGTGGCTGTTTCTGGCTCTGTGGAGATGTTTCCTAACTTTATTTTAAAGGTCTCCTGATTGTAAAGGTTTCTTTGTCAACTGAGACAAACTTAGACAAGTATGACAAGCCCACTAGTTGACTTAGACAGGTCTCACAGTGTGAATGAGCTTCTTATAACCAAATACGTGTATATTTGACCATTTTTCGATGGTCTAGCAGCATCTTTCAAAGGGATGCTCTTGTCATTTTCAGTGAGACAGTTTCTTTTTAAAAAAAATGGTAAAATGCACATAAATTTACTCTCTTAAACATTTTTACAATTTTTTTATATTTCCATAGGTTTTGGGGGGACAGATGGTATTCAGTTACACGAGTAAGTTCTCTAAAGGTGACTTGTGAGAATCGGGTGCTCCGTCCACTCGGCATTATACGCCGAACTCAATTTGTGGTCTCAACCATTTTTAAGTGTACAGACCAGTGGTATTCAGGACATTCGCAATGTTGTACAACCATCACACCATCATTCACCCGGGAACTCTTTTCATCTGCAAAACTGAAACTCTATACTCAATAAACAACTTCCCTTCCCCGCTGTCCTCAGCCCCTGGCAACTACTACTTTTGTCTCTATGAATTTAACCACTCTAATACTTCACATAAGTGGAATCGTGCAGTATTCATCCCTTTGTGTCTGGCTTACTCAGCATAATGGACTCAAGGTTTATCCATATTGGCCAGGCACAGTGGCTCACACCTGTAATCCCAGCACTTTGGGAGGCCACAGCCAGCGAATCACCAGAGATCAGGAGTTTGAGACCAGCCTGGCCAACTTGGTGAAACCTCGTTTCTATTAAAAATACAAAAATTAGCCAGACATGGTGGTGCGCACCTGTAATCCCAGCTACTGGGGAGGCTGAGGCAGGAGAATCACTTGAAACCAGGAGACGGAGGTTGCAGTGAGCTGAGATCATGCCATTGCACTCCAGCCTACGTCTAAAAAAAAAAAAAAGATTCATCCATGTTGTAGCATGTGTCACAATTTCCTTCGTTTTTTATTTTTATTTTTTTATTTTTAAGACAGGGTCTCTCTCTGTCATCCAGGCTAGAGTTCAGTGGGGAGATACTGGTTTTCTGCAACCTCCAACTCCCAGGCTCAAGTGATCCTCCCACCTCAGCCTTCTAAGTAGCTGGGACTACAGGTGTGAGCCACCATATCCATCTAATTTTATTTCTTTGTAGAGACAGGGTTTCGCCATGTTGCCAAGGCTGATCTCAAACTCCTGGGCTCAGGTGATCTGCCTGCCTTGGCTTCCCAAAGTGCTGGGATTACAGATGTGAGCCACTGTGCTTGGCTGCCTTCCTTTTTAAGGCTAAATAATATTTCATTATATTAAAGCAGGAGCAGCGGGAAACAAACCTCTTGAACACTGAACTGAGGAAGGAAGTGGCTTTTTATTTGGCCAGGAGCTGCAGAAGGCTGCCTCCTGATTCACTGAGCTCCCTGAGAAGGAGCTTCTTTCCCTTTTTAAGGGCTTACAACTCTGAAGGGAATCAGAGGTAAAACTGTGTTATTGCCCATTGGCAGGGTAGCTGACCTCACAGTCTTTGGCTTTATTGATTTGCTAATTCATATGCAGTGCATGAGGGAATAGGCAGAGGAGGGGGCTTACAGAGACAAGACAAAGGCAGTAAATCATTAGTTGGCAGAGGTGTTTCCAGGAGGAGATCTGGGTCATGTAAATGTGGAGGACGTGTGTGACCCAGCGCCGGGCTCTGGCTGGTAGGGATAACATTCTTTGCAGCACTTCAAGGTTTATAGATAGTATAGACCAGGCGTCCCCAAACTTTTTACACATGGGGCCGGTTCGCTGTCAGTCAGACCGTTGGAGGGCCGCCACATACTGTGCTCCTCTCACTGACCACCAATGAAAGAGGTGCCCCTTCCTGAAGTGTGGCAGGGGGGCCGGATAAATGGCCTCAAGGGGCTCATGCGGCCCACGGGGCCGTAGTTTGGGGACGCCTGGTATAGACACTGGGAACCGAAAAGGGAGTTATCATCCCAGTACTTGGGCCTTACGATAGCCTGGTCAGTGGCATTAGCAAGTCGCTTGACCACGGATTCCAGTTCTTTGGTATTTTATCACTCTTTACCCTCCTTCTCATCCGGAGGGAGGAAGTCGAGGCCTGGGAGGAGGGAGATGGGGAGGGTCTCGCCGCTCAGTATGTGTAGATCACCTGTTGTTAATCCATTCATCCATCAAAAGACACGGGTAATTTCTACCTTTGGACTATCATGAACAGTGCTGTTACGAACATGGATGCCTAAATATCTCCTCAAGACCCTCTTCCCAGTTGTTTGGGGTATATACCTGTAAGTGGTATTGCCAGATCCTAGGGTAGTTCTGTTTTTCCTTTTCTGCGGTGCCATCCCTGCCGTTTTCTGTAGCAGCTGCACGATTTTACGTTTCTACCGTCAGTGCTCAGGCGCTCCAGTGTCTGCGCGTCCTCACCAACATTTGTTATTTTCTATTTGGTTTTATTAAATTAATAGCCATCCCAGCGGGTGTGAGCTGTATCTCATCGTGGTTTCGATTTGCATTTCCCTGATGGCTAGTGATGTGGAACATATTTCCACATGCTGATTGGCCGTTTGCTTATCTTCTTTAGAAAAAAGTCCATTCAAGGGCTGATTCCTAATTGAGAGCGCCAGCCTCTTGTCCTGTATCCAGTCGCTTCCTAAGCTCATAGTGTCTCCTTTTATGGGATGACCCAAAATGCCTGCACCTCTTTCCAGCGCACACTGCCTCCCTGGAAAGACAGACTTGTAGAACACCACCCAGATTAGGAACTGCGACTAAAAGAACTTTTTTTTTTTTTTTTTTTTAGACATGGTCTTGCTCTGTCACCCAGGCTGGAGTGCAGTGGCGCAGCCTTGGCTCACTGCAGCCTCTGCCTCCCAGGTTCAAGTGATTCTCCCACCTCAGTCCCCGAAGTAACTGGGATTACAGTTGTGCACCACCACACCTGGCTAGTTTTTGTAATTTTAGTAGAGATGGGGTTTTGCCGTGTTGTCTAGGCTGGTCTTGAACTCCTGACCTCAAGTGATCCACCCACCTTAGGCCCTCAAGTGTTGGGATTACAGGTGTGAACCACCACTCCCGGCCCTAAAAGAACATTTTAAAAAGGAAACACCCGCTCCACCGGCTGCCCCCGGCCTGCCCGTCATGTCTCATGAATGCAGCCTCCATTACACCCGCTTAGGGCTGCTCATTTACAGTAACAGATGTGTAGGCGTGTCGCTGAGTGCTCTGTGTGAACTGTGTAACTGAATCTTCACAATGCCTTTTGAGACAGACAGTGCTTTCTTTTTTGTTTTTTGAGAGTGAATTTTGTGTGAGTTTATATATAGTAATTAATTTGGAGGCCAAAGTGCTTTTTACCTTCAAATAAATCAAATAATACTATACCTAGGATTCCCCCTTATTCTAAAAATTTAATTAACAAGAAGCAGAAGAGTTTGAGGTATATACCAGCTGATTAACGTAGGGCCACAGGAGGCAAATTAACAGATGTTTTTCTGAATTCACAGCTTAAGTTCCACCTCTTACCTAAGTAAAATGTCAGGGACTCGTCTGAAGTCCTGAAGTGTGAGGACTAGTTAGAATAAAACTTCTATATGGAATTTAGGGGTAGTGTATTCAGTCAGGACAAATTCCACATAGACAAAACAGAGAACTTTCAAATGAAGATTTGATGGGTTCAGCCATTCCTGTGATCTCAGTAAGGAATTTTCCCTTGCTTATCAGGATGTTAATGGAAGATTTAATAATTATTTAAAAAAATAAATAAATGTGAAACCCAGAATGTCCTGCATTTTCTAAAAGGTGTTTTTTATTATTGTTATACTTTACGTCCTGGGATACATGTGCAGAACGTGCAGGTTTGTTACATAGGTATACGTGTGCCATGGTGGTTTGCTGCACCTATCAACAAGAGATAGATGCTGCTTTTTGTCCCTCTTTATCCAATGAGGAAGATGAGGCAAGGTCACATACCTAACGAATGGGCAGGCTATGGAGTGCCCTGGAAGGGGGTTCTCCTTGTACACTTGTCTGTGAGGTGTTCAATGGATGGATTCAAAGGAGTCTAGGGAGATACCGCTGCCTGGATTTTAAAATTTAATTAAACTCAGGCTTTGGAGATTGCAAAAACCCCTTAAACCTTAACACACACAAGAGTTGGAATGACTGCACAGCATAGTTCCACCAAGTAAAAATATTCAAAATAACGGAGGTCCTGGTAATGATCAAATTCAGTTCTGTGATAAGACCTCATTTTAGGACAGTTTCTGCGCCAGGACTAAAACTGGGCTCAAACCCAGCTCACTCTGGGACAGTATTTTGGGGTTTTGCCAAATGGAGAAAAAAGATACCAAATGCAGTTCCAGGTATTTGCAAATTCCTTCCTCTCTCTAAGATCCCATTTTCTCATTATAAACTGGAAATAATAGTACTGAGCTTGCATACAGATTGTAAGAGTATCTGGTGTTTTAAAAAAAATGAATGTGAAAGCGCTTTGAAACGAAGTTCGGAAATGCAAGATGAGCAGTTGCCACCAGGTGGCAGCCTTGGGCAGCGAATTAAATGAATGGGAAGGCTGAACCCACGAAATCACTCTCCAGCAGGACATGTAAAAAATTGCCCCAAAGCCTACTTGGGCAGACACCTACGAAAAAGCAGAGGAGTTGTTCAGTTCTGTCTTGTCCCAAATGCTGAGCTGGCACTGAAGGCTTCTGAACATCATGCATGCCGAGGACTTTGGGATTCAGAGAAA